CTAATGTCCTGCCCTTCCGAAGTTTCTCCCTTTCCTGTTGTTGTCCACGTGTCCTCTTGGTTACTATTATTCCGCTGCGCTGTTCCCCAGCCCATGATGATGATGATGCAAATGTGTTGTTGWTGTTTTTCTCGTTGGTTTACTTGTTGCATTGTGCACATTGGCATCTGGTGAATGTTGCATCTATGCTGCTGGTTGTTGCCACTTTCATCATTGCTAGATCCTAGGCTGTTAGTGCATTTCACTTTCTGATATGCTACACCGATGCAGCGAGGAGCGGGCACGTCAATCTCATTCGTGCCATATTCTAATCTACTTTATATTCCCACCATCATCCTCATCCTCATCATCATCATCATCAAATCAGAAAAAAAGTCACACTGCATCCAACAAGATCAATGCCCATGCAATCAATCAAGGCTGTGTTGCGATCAGAGCCATCATCGCCCATTCATGTTCACAAAACTTGCCAGCAACAAAATTTCACCATTTTGACTTTTCAGAAAGGTATGGTTCTGGGCGGCGAGTCGGCGACAACAAGACCTGCTGCTCATGGCAATTGGCACTCGCTGCAAGACCTTTCCGGCATCAGGGTTACGACTTTTTTCCGATACCACTTTCACTGCCATCCGTCCACAACAAAATCATCACAATCATCATTTTCACTTTTAAGGTGGATTACAATCATCCTTTTCAGTCCTTTGGGACATCCGTTAAAATTGGAACGATACAGAGAAGATTAGCATGGCCGCATCACAAGGACGACACGCATAAATCGCAAAATGGTCCAAAAAAAAACGAAAGACATCCCTTTCACTCTTAAGGTTGGTATAATTGTGGGTGGTGACGAGGATACCTGCTCGTGGTATTTGGCACTCGCAGCAAAAACTTTCTCGTAAAGCTTCCCCAGGTGTTCCATTGCAGGATCAACAACAGTGTTCCTTGCCGTCTCCATATGAGGTGCGACGGCCACTATGACTGCTTCCAGCTTCGGCCGGGCCTTGCTCCTGATGGACTCTATCACTGGCTCGGCTGCCACCAAGGCTTTCTCCCAATGAGGGCTCAGCTTCACCTTTGCCGTTTCCAAAGCCTCTACTCCAGCAGCATGGGCCTTTTCCACATACGGCTTCATCACCTCCTTGGCCTTGTCCACGTGCTCTTTCACAATAGGAGCCCACTCCTGACCATGCACAGGTTCCATTTCAGTTTCGAGAATGCAAAACCAAAATCTATTTCAGCATCATAGACCAAAACACAACATCCATCCCCTGCACCAGCGGGTCTCCTCACCGCTCATTTCAAGAGCCACAACCAGTCTTATCAATATGTTTCGACTTCTTCACTGTCCATCCTGCTGATTGCACTACCGAGCCCTGACTATGTTTCACTGCATCATCATTTCTCATCATTGACATTTCAACTCCCCTCCCCAAACCCATGCCGACGGAGACGACCACGCAGGTAGAATGCCAAAGTGCAGCAGTTCTTTTCTTTTGTCTCGCATCATATTCGTTAATTAATTTTTGCTTGGCCGGCAGTGCGAACCACTTTGGCCCGGTGGCTTTGGGAGAGGCAGGGTGTGGTGGCACACCTCGGCCCTCCCCAAACACATGCCAATGGAGACAAACGCAGGTCAAATGCCAGTGCAGCACTTTTTCTTTTTCTTTTGTCTCGCATCATTTTGTTAATTAGTTTTTGGTTAGCCGGCGGTGCCAGCCACTTTGGCTCCGTAGCTTTGGGAGGGGCAGGGTGTGGTGGCACACCTCGGCCCTCCCCTCACAAGAAATTGAAGCAGCAATGAACAAAAAGAATTGGGCCTCGCTGTGTTACACCCTCTCACTGAAACCCAGTTTTGAGGTCGTGAGGTCGGTTGCAGTAATGCATCGGACCTCACATGGAAAGTACGTTTTTGTTTGCCTTTCTGGTTTGTTTCATCGCACTCAAGAACTCTTTCCACGTTTGGAATGGTTCAGGGCCTCACGCCACTACTCGCCACTTGCACAAAGACAAAAACGGTGGCGGTGCATCTGCCCATTTTCTTAGCGTAAGCTTTATTATTTGGTGAGTAGTGGAGCGAGGCCCTTAGGGCCTCATCCCACCTCCCACCAAATGTGCAAAACAAGAACATACCTCCCGCTAGAACATGGGGCGCGTCTAACACAGTCTTCTTGTACCTGCCCACCATCTTTTTGCCTTTTCGCATTTGGCGAGTCTGACAGTCCTCTTTTTTCTCTTTTTTTCGATTGTTCTCTTTACAGTTGGCAGGAAAACGAGCATACGTCATGCAACAACAAAGATTTAAGGCGACATCAATGGGCCTAGCTCAGTTGGTACACCACGAACTGTTGAAATACAGACATCCGTATCCAGATCAGAGGCACAAAAGGAAAACGCAAAGAAAAAACAAAGAAACTTCAAGCCGACACACAGCTATTCCCCGCACGATAACAGAAACGCATACAAAAAGAAAAAAGAAAAAAGAAACCCCCCAGTGCACACACATCTGGGGCAGCCACATGTCCCCAGCGCACCGCACCTGTGCATGAGACGTGCGCTTTGCGTGTACCCCACAGATGCACCGGAGGTATGAAAACACATCAATGAGATCTTCCCGCATGCAGGTCGTGTTCCAAGTTCTCCATACAAGACCATAGACATTACTATAAATTTAGCAAAACATTTGGGAGCTGAGCTTCAGGAGAAGTTCACGAAGACGCTCCCCATAGAATGCTTTAATCATTTTATATTCAGCTTACGCCTTACGCCGTCGCATTGAGAGGCCTTCGTAGTTCTCAACTTCAGGAGTAGTCCCTCCTCTCTCAGGTGCCAAACATACCTCACTCTGCGAGGAGGTCCTTGTTATTACATTGCCTATCCCCAGAAACATCACACAGACAATTTGGGACCACCACAGGGCCGCATAATGCACACATTGCAGACGTCCACAACGAGACGGAGAGGCCACATACAAGCAAGCCCTCCCGTCACTGCACCACGACCGGACCAGCTGGTTGGGTCGACATACCTCTTGCTTCTCCCGAACAACTTTTACTGCAGGCTCAGATTTCACCACAATCGTCCCAACGGAATTTGCAACCACCTACACAAAGAACACACAAGGACGGGGAGAGGGAGATCACAACCTGTAGAATCGAAATACCATCGAAGTTAAAAACAGTGCCAAGAAAATCGCTTCCGATCCCTCTAGCCGAGGCTCATCTTGGCAAGATGTCCAGCCCGGTTGTTATAGCCAGAAAGGATCCAGGGAACCTGGGGACAAGTCAGAAAAAGGAACGGTCTGCGTCCAGAAGTCTTGACATTTCCCTTTCTTATAACTATTCCTTTCTGCATCTGATGTTTGCGCGAACCACCCATCGGCACATTCAATTCCTTATTCTTGAGTCAGTAGTCAATACTTGGGAGATGAAGGGAGACCAATGCTGGGTGCGCATAGCACCCATCGGCGCATTCCATGCATTGCTGGAGTTAAATGTTATGTTATAACTTATAATTGTTATTCACATTCATAATTTCATTTCATATGCCTAAGCGTCCAACCACCCTTAGGGGGAGTATCCCTACCGAGCAACCAACCGACGTGAGAAAGCTTTTACATGCAATCGCAGAGGTAAGCCAGCCGGGGACGTTTCCTCGTTTTGCTGTAGTATACGTACGCGCGGTTAGAACGCCAACCGAGCCCGAACATCGTTCATTTCCGAGGGCAGGGCCAGCTCAGACGAAGCAACGGTCTCAGTCCGGAGATCTCGACATCTCTCTTCCTCTCATATAACTACTCTAGAATATGGCGTTCGAGAATAGCACCCACGGAACATTCCATGCCTTGCTCAAATGATACGAACATTCACATCCATATGCACACATGCTCCTAGTCCATAAGCGTGTGTGTATACAGACAAATTTCTCCTCCCCGAATGAAGTTCAAAAGCCGTTCAGAAACACAGAAAAGGAAGAGGGCAAATGTCACAAATTACCCCTTTGAAGGACTCCAAGCGAGGCTGAGCCCACGTTTGAGCAGAAGCGGCCGCCACAGATGTCTGTTCAGATGCAAACCAACCGCCACACAATCAACCAAAATGTCACAAATTGTCCATTGAGTGTTGATACATAACACGTAACAAACAAGCATACCGCCATGCAAATTAAAGACCTGCTTTAGAGGGTCCGTCTAAGTATCTACTACATAATCTACATTCTATTGAAGATCTTCAGGTCCGGTGAAAGAAAAATCTGACGGGGTAGGGAAGAATGTGTTTGTGTGACAGAGAGAGAGAGAGAAGGGGGCAGGAGGCACATAAGAGGTCATTTGACTGTCGTTAATGATCAGACACTTCCCCCTGGAGTGAGAGAGGGATGCAAAGAGAGGGAGAATAGCAAGAGAACGGGAAAGTAAGCGAGGAAGACATCACGAGAGGGACAGCGCAAAGAGATGCCGCTGGGATAGTACTGTTCAGGCCATTCTCTTCTCTACGTGGGGGCACGCCAGTCTTCACTCCAAGTTTCGCCCTAGATGATTCTACACAAAGATGATGACGTGATATTACAGCATCCTTTGAGCGCTTCCTCTTCATCATGTAATTTTTTTTCTGTGTGTGTGTGCTGCTATGCTGCCGTCTCTTCACATCCGAAGCTCCCCCGCCACTCCATTGCTATCACCTCTTTGTCTTTTTCTCTTTGTAAATTGGTGGGGCTGTTGCCTCACCTGTTGCATCACTCCTCTTTCATATTTTGTGCATGCCGTGACTCCAACACCAAATTCTCATCAGCTCTGAATTTAATCAAGTCACAATGTTCATCAATTCCACTCAGTGGAGCCTTCTTGCACTCATCAAGATGAAGAATGGATTGATAAAAGTAGGTGAAGAACGAGCGGCCATCATCTTCATTGGTTGAATTCTTTTTCCCGGTTCTGTTTCTAATCAATCCATGAACATGATACACACATCATCAGATTTTTATCGGCTTGGGTTTTCCTTCTTTTCCCCATTTTTGCGGGCATCATTCCTCTGATGTTTGTGCAGCAGGAGATGATTTTAATTCTCTGTTTCCAGCTGGTCGACTTGGGCTTTCAGAAGTCGTTGGCACAATGTAGGTGGTAGCTGTCATTATATATCGTCAAATAGAACTGCCCGGTAAACCGTAGGAAGAGAGGGAGAAGAGGACAACAAACGAGGGGCTGTGACAAACTGTTTCGTCGGAGTTTCACTGACTCATCAGGAGGCTGAACCCTCAACAGTCTGTAGAATCCCCTCACTGATTACACTGTAAGTGATAATCCACCTTAACCAAAATCAAAGTAGACTATCACTCACCCACACCAGATGGAAAACTCTACAGACTGTCGGTTCACACCCCATCACAAGCCAGCAAAACACCCACGAAACAAAGAAAGGTCTGTCACAGCCAAAAAATACACTCCAGACACGCCGCTGGCACTAGAGGCACAGCATGGCCGCCTAGTAACCGCCGCGGGAAGCTAGCGAAGTCGTAGTATATATCGTCAAATAGAACTGCCCGGTAAACCGTAGGCAGAGAGGGAGAAGAGGACAACAAACGAGGGGCTGTGACAAACTGTTTCGTCGGAGTTTCACCGACTCATATATGTGTGTGTTTTTGTCCAACAACAGCACTCCGTCGTTACCCAGATGGAAAAATAGCTTAGTACTGCTGGTCTGTCACGCCAGAAGTCGCAGGTTCAAATCCCATTTTCCCCAGGAGGTATGGCTGAGTGGGATAATTAATCGAAAGGGTTTTCCTTCTTTTCGCCATTTTTGCGGGCATCATTCCTCCAATGTTTGTGCAGCAGGAGATGATTTTAATTCTCTGTTTCCAGCTGGTCGACTTGGGCTTTCAGAAGTTGTTGCCACAATATAGGTGGTAGCTGTAATTATATGTGTGTGTGTTTGTCCAACAACAGCACTCCGTTACTACCCAGATGGGAAAATAGCTGAGTAGTGCTGGTCTGTCACGCCAGAAGTCGGAGGTTCAAATCCCATTTTCCCCAGGGGGTATGGCTGAGTGGGATAATTAATCGAAATTGTGCACAGGCGCAGCCGCACTGGCTTTAATTGTCTCTCTCTTGAAGTCTAACAGATTCAGTGTTGCTCGCTTAAAGTCTAACAGTTCCAGTATCGCTCTCTTAAAGTCTAACAGATTCAGTATCACTCTCATAAACCACCGCTACCTTTCACAGGCAAACTTGAAACAAAAATATAACGTATAGCACATTCTTTCGGAGGCCGAGCCTTGCCCAGCTGAAATGGCTGGCGGCACTTCCAAAAAAAAAAAAACAGAAGCCATGCTGAAGCACGCAGTTCTATTCCAGCTCGGCGAAAGGAGACTCGGCAAAAAGTCGTTCGAAGTCCAACACATTCAGTACCTCTCTCTTGAACTCTTAACAGATTTGCGGTGAGTCTGACGATAGAAGCACACCACAACGTCCAGGGGAGACGACGCAGATGACAGAGCTTCCAGAGGATGCAACATACATAATAGAAGTTCAGTGAAGACAACATAAGTAACAGAAGATCTTAAACCATCACTGCACAGTGTACACCCCGGGCAAACGAAACTGCCGCCAGCGGTTCATTTTTTCTTTGGCATGCAGTGCAAATCCCCGAAAAAGAGGCTTGGAGGTAGTGGTGGTAGCGGCCGTTTATACCGGCAGTCCCTCCAAGCCTGTTTTAAACCACAAGTAGCTGCCAAGCAGCATTCCCAAACCATTTTCAGGCAGGCCACCGAGCCTCTTTGCTACCTGCGAGAGCAGCTGGTGGGCAGAAGTGAGGAACTGGTTGTTCAAAGTGGGTGACCAGTACTCGTTTGCCGGTCGTTTCTTTTTTCTTTTCCCCCTTTTCTCTTTCCTGCTGGGTGTGGCCGCGACTGTCAGAAGAGCTGTCAACAACGAGGGTGTCGAGGCCTCGTCAGCTCATCCAAAACAACAAGTGGCAACGATGGCACTGTGTGATTAGGGGCATGCTAATCTACTCTGTATCAATACACGTTCTGACGGAAGATTCATTCCCATTTTGCATGTCTGCAGTGGCATGGCAATCGGGCCTTCCGGATACTCCTGACCTCGATGAACTACCTGACACATTCACAAAAAGCAAAAATTGAATCGATATTTTTTTTTTTTTGCAATCTGGATTGCCGATATCTGTGTTTCATCGTTATCGTTGTGCAGGCCCATGCTAATCTCCGCTCTATCTTCACTGCTTCTGCGCGAGATTCGTTCGAAAGTCTAGGATCTCACTCCACGACTCACCACATTCACAAACGACAAAAGTTGCAGTGCTGTATTTCATGTTTTCCTTTACGGATTTGGACACATTTCCTCGCTCCACTGCTCACCAAATCTCCAAAGTAAGAATGAATCTTCTGCCAGAACTTGGAAAGATGCACCACCACATTTTTGGTCTTGTGTGCATGAGGAGAGTAGTAGAGTGAGCCCCATCGTTACACAGAACCATGCTAATCTTCCGTACCAAGCAATGTTTTGGCAGAAGATTCACTCCCATTCTCAAAGTTTGCACGTGGCCAGGACAAGGTCCCTCCAGATCTTGAAGCCGTCGTCCACACCGTTCTGGGAGGCAGGTCGTTTGAGATTTCCCGTGCAGAACTGTGCTTTTATTTTTCTTTTCTTTTTGTTTTTTTTTTGTATTTTCTGCTTGTGTCTTCTCTGGTCGCTGGATGCTGAAAACGAAAACGAGCGACAACCCCCCCAGTGCCAAGCCTGCCCAGGCCTCCCCTGATTTCAGAGGGAGAAAAACTGAAACGCTGGTGCGGGTACTGCTGGTTCAAAGACCGCCACAGATTGATGCTGTGCGCCCAAGGACACTGAACCGACATGACCAGTACTTGGCCCAGCTTTCGGCCGCGTAAAAAAATAGACTAGAAACGTTTCTAGTCGGATGAATTTGGGCGCTCCTTTAGTGGCCCGTACGTTTCCTAAAATCGTGGCGCGTTAACAGGCACGACTTTAGGAAGTACTGGTGTTTTAATGCGGCAGGTTAACAACCGATACGTCAGAACAACATAGCCGGAAAAGGGACTTGTGGTTTTGAGGATCGAGAACCCATATAATTTTTTAAAAGCCAGAGGATCGGAATCCCAGGCTGAAAGCTGAAACTCACTTCTCAGCAAATCACCACCACCAGGCCCAGTCTATAGTACCATGACAACCAGCTGGGACCGAAAAATCCTGCTAAGGGCCTAGTTGCACTACTCACCACCCGCCAAGATTCTGAATGCATCTGGACATGCTTCCCGTCCACATGCACTCAAAATCTTGGCGAATGGATAGTAGCGCAACTAGGCCCTCCACAACAAATCCCCAGACAATAAGGGAACGGAGGGCTGAATAGACCCAACTAGGTTAAGGCACCCCGCATCACAGTGAACACAACCATGAACATGTGAAACGTAGTCCGGAAAAAGAATACCTTTCGTGAAAGCTGAATTGCAGCAGGCTTCCCATATGCTTCCCAATGTGTAGTTGCTTTCTCCTGACAAAACAAGACCCACGAGCCAACCAACAATGGCATGCTTTCTGGACTTAGTCTTGCAGCATCATGTTTTGCGCAGAAGGGATCTATCTCCCTAGGAGATCTGCAGACGACGCTTTGCAGCATCATGTTTTGCGCAGAAGGGATCTATCTCCCTAGGAGATCTGCAGACGACGCTTCGCTTGTGCGTCAGAATACCTTTCCAAACAGGCCGACAATTCTCCAGAAAAAAGGTTTCTGAGCACATAAGAGGACCTTTCGAACACGTCCACAAAAGTGAGGCCCCACACCCCCCTGGTACTATGCTCATGATGGCAACCTAGGCCCCACAATGCCCCCCCTACGCTAATTTAACAAACCAAGGTTGATGTTCATGCCTGACCCAACAAGCCAAAAAGATGTGGCCCTACCAATAGCAGCAGCAAAATGCATTCTTTAAATTTCTTTTCGCCCAGATAATTTTCAGCCCTACCTAAATTTCTAGTTTTTTTAAGTGCTTCTAGAAAGTTATGTCCCTGTTTTTTTGAAAAATTTTCCGAATTTTTTATCCAAACAGTGAGAGCACAAAACATAAACCAAAGTCAACACACACATGTCACAAAAAAGCTCCCCACTGAAACATAGGAGGATGTGTATTAAATTTTAATCTTTGGGCATAACGCACTGAAACATACACCTGATCTACCCCACGGCAAAGCATCCAGAAAAAGGGTGCACTGTGCCCAATCTGCTCTTCTTCTTCTATATGATGAACTATTCCATAACCTTGCATAGAGCTCCCTTTTCCATTCATCAATCGTTAGAAGTGAACGATCCACAAGCTAAAGAAACTTGCACCCTTTTGAAGCTCCGAAAATATACCCCACCCCTCCACACAAACATAAGGGGACTAAAAAGGAACAACTCCAAACACAAGCATCCAGCCAACCAAAGGGTCTCAAAAAATGGCGTACCTTCCATTCCAATAGCCGTGACGCAGCCCATGGTGGAAGCCACTTCTCGCTCACCTGGAATTGAGCAAACAAAATATGCATCAACTGAATAAGACAAGAAGAATACGACTTATTGCGCCATTCACAATATCATACTGTCGGTCACATGCACATCCTCTACCCAGAAAAATGCAGCAGCACCGAAAATACAACGTATGGCACCATAGATCATCCATATGACACAGACAAATTGCACCGACCCCGAGCCTCAAAATGACACCAAGGAAGGGAGGCTGAACTATCGCCTTGCTCCTATTAGAAAGCATGAACCTGACATCAGAACTAGCCAGATTGTTGCTCGCATTGCCCAAACATAGCACCAATGCGGTTTGGCCGTCAGAACCGTGGTCTTACGGAGCCCATGTGTCACATCAAAATGATTAGAACCCCAAAAACCAAAAAAGAAGAAGAAGAACAGCAGCATGGACTCTTTTGTCCGGTTCGCAGGAATAAGCCGCATCTCTCTTCGTATGCCTCCTCCCAGATATCTCTAGCCAGCACACACACACAATGCATGATTCCAAGAACTCTCTAACCGGAGAGCCAGTAAAGGACACCTTGAGCATCACTCACAATGCCAAGCATTCACCCCTGTCACCGCCATCATGTGCATCATTCACAAACTCCAAAAAAACAACAAAATTGAACAAATTATTTTCTGTTATCGACTCGTGCACAGTGACCCACAAATTCAGGTGAAATACAAGATCTAATATCTATGCGACAAAATCAGGGAAAATAGGAAAATACAAAGATCTACATGACCACATTTCACGCTCTGAAGAGCCCCGTGCAAATGCTTCTATTCAACAGCTTCGGCACAGTGCGTCCATGTTCACCCCCCAACAAGAAGATTGTCTGGCCTGTTCAGCTGCTTTCAGACATTTATTTGCTAGCATTCCTTCAACCAGTATCAGACATGAGAAGGGAAAAAGAAAGAGATCCTGAAAAGAGGCACATTGGATTCTCTTCTGCCTTCAGAACATATAGCGGCGTCCAGGGTTGTCAGACAGCAGTAGAGCCTACTGCCGATGCCAACAACCGACAGTTTTCTTGCCTACCGGTGCGGGAACCAGAAATCATCTGCCGACCAATCATTGGAGGGCCATCAATGATTTTTTTCAAATCTAAGTTCGGGCTGTACTGCACCTGGTCAGCGCAGGGCAAATACCACTTTTGGGAATGGGGGGGTACAGGGGGGGTAGGGGGCGACGAGGGTATAGTTAGGATACAGATAGTGGGTGTATAGGGGGGGTATAGGGGGCTATGAGGGGGGTGCGAGGGGGCGTATACGGGTTTTGATGGGTTGTAGAAAGCGGTTGGTGGGGTTATTGGGAGTTATGACCCATGCAAGAAGAAAAAAACTTTCTTTTTCGCAGGGTGCCGGGCGAGAGCTGGCTGCCAACTGGTGGGACGGTCGGCTGGTCGGTCGCCGACCAATCCAGGGGTGCCGACTGTCAGCATGCCTATTCTCGCAGCATCACAATTTCGTACACCCCATTTCCCCCCTTCCTGCTTGCTGTCCCAGACAACACTCAAAGGTCCATCAGATCAAAGGAGACAGCATCCCCACATAGGTTGTCATTATCGACCAATGCACAAGGCATTTTCCAACACCATACGTCGATATGTCTATTTCCAAGGACAAGACTGACTTGGATCACACAAAGTACAAATTACACCGTAGTCAAAATCACCAGTAGACTGGCAGCTAACAACATCAACTAGCTCGAGTATCACGTGCTCGAGTACAACATCACAGCTCCCTCGAGTACACACTCTCTCTCTTCCCTCTCCCCACAAAAGCAGAAAGGCATGGTGGCAATCATGAGCTGTCAGCTACTGGACCGGATTATCTAAGAAGAGAACATAGAGCAAGATACTGCATTATCCTTCCATTACCTTCCTGCCGTTCTCTGCTTGCCTCTCTCTCTCTCTCTCTCTCCCCTCCCCTCCCCTCCCCTCCCCCCTTCCCCACAAAAGCAGAAGGCATGGTGGCAATCATGAGCTGCCAGCTACTGGACTGGATTCTCCAAGAATATAACATAGAGCAAAATACAGAGATTGGGGGGGCGGGAGAGAGAGAGAGTGAAACAAAGACAGGGATTTACACAGACGGAGGCCACGGCAAGGTCTCCCACATGACCACCTTTAGTCCAGACGTGCACAGCTTGTATTTTTCAGCACCAACGTCCCGAAGCTGTACTGCAGATCAGTGCAGGGTTAAGTACATTTCAGGTTCACCATCTTAAGGTTGACCTACAGTTCCTTTCCCTGCGACAAACGGTGCCATGAAAGGAAAGCACTACGTTGAAACCTGAAATAGAGGGAAGCTCACGGAAGCAAAGAGACCAGGAAAGAATTCAAAGAAAAGAAAATCGGGGGCATTCAAAAGTAGCATTAACCATACCTCAGAAAGCTCTTTCGCCCTAGCTGCAGCTTCCTCCTCTGCCTTTTTTTTCACGGCCTGCAAGACATGATTTGCGAGATTTAGAAATAGAAAAAGCAGCAGAAAGGAGCTTCAGAGGAGAAAGCTAGACACTGCACAGAGCAGCTGGCACCAGGTCAAGCTCCTACCGAAAAACCACAGGCATGCAACTACCACACACAGTCACCATTTCCACAGGAAAAGAGCACAAGAGGATATGCTGCGTAACCCCACACCCAATCCACCTGTGCTCTTCTCGGCATCCCGTTCGGGAACAGCACGACCATGTCATGAAAAATATAGCCGGTAACGAGGGAAAATCCGAAAAGGTCTCCAAATTAATTGCATGGGAATCAAGCTGGGCTGGCTGAGCTCGCTAAGCTAGGCTTCAAACACTCAGGCAAACCCAGACATGTGTTCAGCTGCCTGATAATAGATCTCCAAAATCTCGGGGCTCAAACACTGCAAAGGTGTGGTTGCCAGTAAATCTTTCACAGTGGAAAAACAGCAGCCACATAAAACCGACGACGACGACAAAGATTAACTAACAACAGAAACAGAGAAAATCACTTACAGATTAACCACAGGGTGATACCCGAGAGTCTGAGACCAGTTCAGCTGAAGCCAGCTGTAAATCACCTCTACGACTAGCACGTAGGGTACAAATAGCGCACCTCAATGAACTTTAATGCCACCTCCGCTTCCGTCAACTTCTTCTGGTGAAGCGCAGCAACAGACGCCAACTGCACAAGACAGGATTGCAGACCACGGAAGGCGGAAAAGGTAACCAGCATTGTGAGAGGCAGGGAGAGACGTGAACGGAGGCATATGGAGAGTGGAAGAGAAAACACAGTCATCAAACCTCCGACAACAAGAGGCCTCTTGTTGGCGGTGGTCACTTACCATCAGCACAGACAAACAAAGGGCAAGCCCCTCCTCCTTGCTGAAGATGAAGCTTCCAGATGCACTCAGATACTTACTTATCACCATGACTGTCAAAAGAGAGAGACAGGCTTCAGAACTGAAAGGGAAAATTGGAGACGAAGATGAAATGCCATATCAGGTGTTAAGCAAGGAAGACACTCGACCAACATGAACGATAGCGATAGAAAAGCACAACATCAGGGCACTGTTTTGCAATCCAAGCATGGATCCATCCACGACACGGATTTCGAAAAGTTTATAAAAGGTCTCATTTCTGAGTTTGCCCAAATGCTTCCAGGGGGCGAGGCCAGACCCATACATGCCCAATTGCAAGAGGCTACGAGTGCTTGGCCTTACCCTAGGAAACACTGAAAATCTTGATTTACAAATACAAAACGTGGGAAAACTATAGTTGTCTAGAGATGCAAAAGCATGAAAGCAAGGGCCAGCTTGACATTCCTAACAAGAAATGGCTCGACCTACACCATTCCCACAGAGTCTATCGAGATGCAATACCACAAAAGCAAAGGCCCACTTGTCATCTTCCTAAGGAGAAGTGCTTTGGCCTACACCATACCCACAGAGTCTGCATTCTTCTGTCCAGATACGACCTGCGTCCCGGTTTCAGCACATCCATGATCTTTTCCCTTCCGAGCGACAAACACAAAATCCACCGCCATTACTGTGTGCCGCCCCAAAAATGACTACCAATACCAGGTATTTTCCAACACCCTCATCATCTCCAGCAACACACCCCCCTCCAGACTTCCCCCCCTGATTGATCGTGTTCCAGCCCATGAATGCCCACTGTTCATGCATGCAGACCTGCTGTCCTCCACCCCAGTACGAACGAAGCATGTTGACGTCACCACCCTGCCCATACCTCCTGCTTAGAGCAACATTTATGAACAAGTCACAGGAACAAACGCCCCGAAACAGGCTTCTAGCACGCCACCAAAATGATACCAACTCAGTCAAAACACAGAGGAGGTACTTCAACGTGCGCAATACATCGGCATAGAAGACAACCCAAGCATTCAACCATAACGACAAACACAAACGTCCCTCAGGACATCCGTTAATCTAGGAATGATACAGAGAAGATTAGCATGGACCCTGTGCAAGGATGACCCACATAAAGCAAGAAATCGTCCAATCGAAAGAAAAAAAAAAAAAAAAAGAACACTATCCCCCGAGCGTCCCACACATTTGAAACAGTAGAATAAAAAGAAGACCACAGCAGCCCCCAATCCAGAAAGGTATTCACAAGTCTAAGAAAAAAAAGACAACTTTTTTCTTCCATCGTAAGTTACACATACCTCCACTTTCTCAGCCTCCAAGGCTGTTGAAGACTTCTCTGCCTCTTGTACACGTCTCAGAAGCACAGAATTCTCCGACTTCAAGTTCTGGACAGTTGCCTGGAGGCTTTCCAACTGCCCGAACAGAAACAGCCATAAACCACCACACGGCCCCCATGCTCATAAGTGCTAGGTAAACATCTTTGGTTAACTTGGGGTTTTCTACCATCTCTCTTGTCCGTGCTCGTTCTCTTCTTTTCGCTTTCTTATTCACTGCATCAAGTGCTCGCACTCATGCTTGTGTGTTGCTTCATCCATTGACACACAATGTAATCCACGAAAAAAGGATGAAAGAACAAAACAAGAATACAGAGAAGCACCATACAAGGCAGGCTGCAAGAAAAGCTAGCCACGTTGGAGGAAGCAGAGTGCCTACAAGCAATACAAACTGTCGACGGGGGGGAGACAGAGGCGGGCCGGTTGGTTTGGGGGGGGGGGAGGAAAGAGAGGGAGAGAGTGACAACGTCACACTTAGCGAACGGATCCATCATCCATGGATCATCACATTGGTCATCTCTCAAACTTCGATCTTTCTCCTCATCAACACAGTTCATTGATGTTTTTCCAGATGGTCCGCCGTTGATCTTGAAAGGACATGAGAAAAGAGTTATGCAGGGAAGAACCTGCAATGACACCAAACAGCAAGCCTCGGGAAAACCGAATTGCTCAAGGAGAGGGGCTGGAGGCACAGGGGTAAGGGCGAAAGAGGAACCCAGGACATAAGGGTCTGGTCGTGCGAGTGTCAAAAGAGTTTAGAAGGGATTCTGAACAGAGGGGCGATAGGCAAATAATGTCGTTTCGAAGGGAATCTGAACAGAGGGGCGAGTGGCAAACAATGTCGGCGGGAAAGTACGACGAGTTGTCACCTGCTTTTTTGCATTCTTGACTTTCAACTTAGCTTGCTGCAACGCATTCTGCACCTCCGAGGAGCTTTGGTCTTGTTCCTCCTGCGGACACGCCCACCCACACCACGATCACAGGACTTTCATTAAACCACCACTACCTTTCACAGCTGTAGTCCCATTTGGGAAAATGACCTCATCCTAAAAGTTCGGGGGTCCGGTCGAGGGGCGGCGTCGAAGTATTTGAAAACACACAACGAAAAAGATTTGGGCCCTGCAGGCCCGCTTGCCCTACCAAATCAAAAAAAAAAAAAAAAAACAGAGAACAAAGAACGTGGGTGCTTGTGATGTCGGGGTACTTCACTGAGGGCATACTCGCACAGGCACAACATAGATAGTATGTGACTGCTATTACGGTCCCATTCGTTGTTGTTGTTTTGTTTTTCTTTCCTTTTTTCTTTTTCGTTTTAGTGTGCTGCCAGCGAGGCAGGGCGGATTCCACGTTCTGACAAGTAGAACTCAGTAAGGGCAAACTCACTACAATGAATCTAACCAGTAGTAGGGCCAAATCCGTGTTGCTGTTTTGTTTTGTTTTCTTCATACTTCGGCCAGGCCCCTGACAAAGGCCATACTCACACAGGCACTTACAGAACATATGCGACTGCATTTCGGTCAGAAATCCATGTTCTTGCTTTGTTTTTCTTTCCTTTTGATGCGAGTGAGTGCCCTGGCAGCGAGCGGGGCGTATTTCACGCTCTGCTGGAAAACACACGGCTGAGGGCATACTCACACAGGTAGTTCAAAACTAAATCTACCGCCTATCAGGCCTAGAGATTTATTTTTTTTCTTCTGCTGCAGCCTACGCCCGTTCGACAGAGCAGACCACCACTACTATAGTCCCACACTCTCACAACCCGTTAACCACCACTTTAGTATTGACTGTTGCACTGTGTTTCGGTGAATGAACTGCTGCAGCAGTCATCGAACTATGGATAGGCCTTGTTCCAGACCAGCATGGTCATGGAATTGCTGTGTCCATTAACAGCTGTATCATTAGGGTGCAGACAAGCAGAGGGTATTATGTAAACTGCCGTGTCCATGAACCGCCAGTTATGCAACTTCTTTCAGACCAGCGTGGTCATACACCTGCTGTGTCAAAGAACTGCTGTGTCAACGAACTATGGCCAAAGAACTGCTGCATCATTCGGGTGCAGACAAGCAGAGATGATCTCCCCGCAATCATTTCTTTGTGGCATGTGTTAGCTACCAGATTGAACCTGCTTTGAGACCGCTCGATAGTGCTATGGTGAAGCGGCTTAAAGCACCAGTACACCACATACCGGCCCTCGGGTGTCAGCATGAGACCCGCACCACTTCGGAGGCCGCCGATCAATGGCAGGCCTGGCTGGGCGGCGCCTCCAAGTTTTGCTTGTGGCAACAAAAACGTTCTGCAAGGCTGGGACCCTGTACTAGCAGTTTAAAATCACGAAGTTCGAGCTCACAGATTATGTACATCTTTTCTTATTTTCCAGTTGGTGTGGTACAGCCCAGGAGCAGAAGAGAGCCCGCAATTAGCATTCCTTACAGGGCAGCGACGCCAGGCCACTGTAAACTCAGACAGCCATGGGATACCGGTCAAACGTGTCCGCGTCCATTTTCAAACCCTATATCAGACAATGAATATGTGACCGCACACAAAGCACGCAGTAAACAGCAATCGGGACAAAGCCAACATATTCCTTTTAAAAAAAGGGGGGAAAAAAACTTCCCACTTTTACATCTTTGCTTTTCAATTTTTGCATTCCCCTTTTCTACAACCAAACTGGTTATCTAGATGTGTTCTTTGACACAAGGAAACTTTCTTGAACCCCAATTCCGTCTGTATCCCCTTTCCTCCCTTCCCATGTAATTTTTGTTCATGCCCTCCACTTTTTCCACATCTTTTTGTACCTTTGTCAATCTGTGTTTTCCCATGGTCAATCCACACGCTCCCCTCCATATCTTCCGACATCTCTTTTCCAGTACCATATTCTCGGCTCTTCTGTTCATGCTCTCCACTCTCCTCACCTCCATCATCTGCTTTTCCATCAATACGCTCTTCGGCCTCTCTCTTGTCCATCATTACTCTCATTCTTTCCATCCACATCGTCTCTCCTTCATTCCATACATTTTTCGCAATATGAAAGAGTTTATTCTCTACTCTACACTTCTTAAAATGAATCAAAATGTATTTTTTAATATTTTATTACAAATTAAGATTCAGTAGCAGACTTTTTGACGATATTCTTGAATAAATACTCAGAGCATTTATTTTCTTATTATCATATCATATATTCTCTGTTCTAGTTGAACAAAATTTATTCCCTCGGCGGAGGCTTGAGCACGGATGTGGCTGTTACAGGGTTCTCCATAATAATATTATAATGACAATAAAAAAAAGGACTCAAAGACAGTCCTGTCCAGATTCGACAGGTAATTGAATTGGTTGGGCTTAAACTTTAAAGAGTAAACCTTAAAAAAAAAAAAAAAAAAAAAAAAAAGCCTCCATTCTCAATTTACGTACTGTAATTCATGTAATATATCGTCACACAGAGCTGCTCGGTAATATATAATATAATATAACACATGTAATCTCCATAGCATCTCCAGTCCTCCCTCCACGATACATGTAATCTCCACAGCATCTCCAGTCCTCCCTCTTCCAGGCCCATGCCGTGACATCTCCTTCCGCCATCAACCCTCTCCTTTTACCCCTCTCCCTCTCTTCCATCTTGTCGCCTCGTGGCTGATTCGATTTTGGAAAGTGATGCAAATGCCGAGGCGTCAAGATGCAGGGCCACCTCCACACGCCATGACATCTCCTTCCCCCATCAACATATCCTCCCTCTCCTTTCACCCCTCTCCCTTTCTTTCATCTCGTCACTTTGTGGCTGATTCTTTCGGAAGAGGATGCAAACGTGGAGGTTGTCAAGACGCAGGGCCACCTTCGTACCTTTAAGGTTTGCAGCTCGTTTCGTAATGAAGATGCTTCTTTCTCCTGCTGAGAATTGAATCCCTCTGCCAAAATGAGACAGAAGAGGACAAAAGACACATTGCATGCAATCACTCGTCAGACGCGTACTCTGTTGGGGACAAGGTGGGAAGAAGGGGGAGGGAGAGGGTGAAAAGGGGAAGGGAAGGATGGAAAACAGCATAGCAAATACATTCCCCAAGGGATCCATCTCAATATACTGGATAATCTATGTAAGGACGAAAATGACACCACAAAAGAACGTCAAAACTGCACAGGAGAGACTCCACTTACAAGCTCAATGAACCTCGTGACCAGAATTCATATGAGCAAAAAGGTACTTAACAGAAACGACATACCAAAAATGATCAATCACACCAACACACGAACTGACAGTGTTGAAGTCCCTCGATGAAGAAAAGCCCTCTTCTTGCCTCGGAACAACCCATACAACTACAATACTAATTCCCTACTCTTAGGGCATTACTCAAACTTGGACGTTTTCTACTAGTCTCTGGACGCAATTGTAGTCAGATACGTTCCGTCTATACTGTAATTGTAGTCTCACTACCAGCCAATGTGGGACCACCTACTCTTACTTCTCTAGCCCATATATACTACGCCAGTGTACAATTCCACAGCCACAAGGTACCAATGTTGTTCTCACAAGTGCCTGAATGCAGAATGTACCACGCTACTCGTCAACCACACTAAGGCATATCCTTCCGCCTCCTCCTAGGACGTCCCTTACACATACCACCTTCTCCCCCTAGGTGCCCAGCCCATCCATGGGTGGGGCTGCCCGCCTTGCTTCTAGATCACTGCCCCACTGCTAGCTCTACCACCCAAGCACAGCTGCGCTGAACCAGCCTAGCAGTATGTCCCCGACCAATGCGTCCTCGGCTGCTTCCGCTTCTTCCAGGTGTCATGGCCAGGATATGGAAGACGCTGCAGCCCGTTGGGATCCCAACCACTTCGGCACCTTGCCACTACCATGACCAGTGACCCAGCCTTTCCCACAACTGGCAGGGCCCCACTTTTCTTACAGCCTGGGGCCTTCACTGAGGGCCCTGCAGCATTCGTAGCTGGGAGGCCCTCATGGCCTCACACTACCATCAACCATTTTGAGCAGAAGTGAGTCATCACTTCTGGCATGTCTCTACTAACGACCAGCAAATGGAGAGAATCCAAAAGATCCTTCCTTAATAGTTGTAAAAAGGCCATCACAAAACACTCAAAGATTCTCCCTTGTATTTGACAAGCAAAAGAGCATCACCAAGTGGAGGCAGATTCTTCCTCGACAAACTACAAAGCACGTTCCCACTTCTGGGATCTTTTCTATTTCCCTTTTCTTTTTTTCTTTTTTTTTCACAATTGAAGGTGGTTATTTGAACTTATTTCTTGGGAGAAAGATGGAAAAGTTCGCTCCATTTCTTTCTGGATCTGTGCATGTCATATCCTTATATGTGTACTGTTCCAATATGGGGCAACGTTATTTTTCCTTTTTTTTCTTTTTAGGGAATTGAAGGTTATTATTCTCGGGAGAGGAAGGCTCTTTTTTTTTTTTTTTTAATTCAGTCCATTTCTCAATTTCTGCATGTCACCCTTATGTCTATTGTTCCTATTTAACGACTATCCAAAGAGAAACCCCACTTCCGCCATCCTATCACATGCAGGAAGAACCATTACTGATGCTTTTTATTTTAACTGTGACAAGAGCATTGTCTTGTCCAAGACGACTCTTTCTTTCTAAATTAGGAATCACCGATGAGTCTCCGCAGAGCAGATACGAAACCAGATTATAGCTTCCTGTTTTCCTTCGCTTTGTTTTTCTTCCAAGCAGTGGTAGATTAAACCACCACCACTACCTTTCCCGACCATCGGCCGCAGGCCCCTCACCTCGGAGTTTCAGAGGCTGGAAATGCATCAAAGGCCACCGATCAAATTTACCATCTGTAGGCCGCTGTATCAAAGGCCGCCGATCAAATTTACCTTCTGCAGGCCGCTGTATCAAAGGCCACCGATCAAATTTACCATTTGTGGCCCAACAGCGGCCCGTGCCATGAAGAATGCAGTATAGGTAATATTGCCACTCGGGGCTACAGCCTGAAAGGTCGTACTGGTAGTTTAAGGCACATCAGTCCAAGATGGTACCATGTGATAGACAAACACAGTACCGAGCATCACAACCCAACACGATCATAGTGCATTAGGTTGTCCTTATCCTTTGTCCAAGCTCAAGGGGGCCACTAAAAATAGGGGGGCACTAAAAATAACAAACGGAATAGTACCAGTAAGACAATCCCGTCCTTTCTACAATGTGCAGGAGATGAACATAGACTTAACGACACGTGCTAACTCGAAGATTGGCAGAGTACCCGAGCATCACAACCCAACACGATCATAGTGCATTAGGTTGTCCTTATCCTTTATCCAAGCTCAAGGGGGGCACTAAAAAATAACAAACGGAATAGTACTAGTGGGACAATCCCGTCCTTTCTACAAGGTGCAAGGAGATGAACATAGACTTAAGGACATGTGCTAACTCCAAGATTGGCAAAGTACCTCTTGAACAATGTTTCACAGCCTCTGAAGAAAGAAGACGAATGTGATGACCCCTTGGCAATTTTCTCTCTAATCGCCCTTGTAATAGACCCAAAAATGGAAAACAAAAAGTCTTTTACCAACGGGCCTAGCTTAGTTGGTACACCCATGAAATGTTTTTGAAATACAGACCCAAGTTCGAATGCAGATGGAATCAAGATGAACAGAATCCGACTTCCGCCTAGGGGCGGTCATTTCAATGATGATGGTATCTCAAAGGCCAACAACACAGCGCAAGGCATCCACCTCCCACAGACTGGACTCCTCAAAAAATACAATAGACTGTCGCATTTTTAACCGTTCTTCCCTCTGGCCCCAACAACAACACCAGTTGTGCGAATTTCCGCCCTCAACTTAGAGATTTAATTGGACTGTTGTAGTCTATCACCGACCCTCACATAACCCTGAGATCATACACACAATTGATGCCACACGATGGCTTCGACAGTACATTCATGCATACACGTCTACCATTTACAGACCCCAGTTCCGTTCCCACTTCAGAAAAGGGTGCATGAAGCTACAGGCCCCCTGTGCACAAAGGCTCCACTCCACCAAAAATGCCGACACATCAAGAAAGGATAACATTCACCGACATACCAAGTGATTTCGTTGAAGCTGCTTTGGCAAGGAGATAATCGCAAAGAGAGGAGACAATCGAAAGAAAGATAAAACACAAAGAGGAGACAATTGAAAGAAAGATAAAAAAGATGATGATGAACACCATCATTGTCTTCACATCTTTCCCCAGCCTCCTCAACTGAAAGGAAAGAACTGAAGCACAAAAACACGACTCAAAGTGAACAGCCAATCGCAACCTGGGGAACAACATAAAAGCCAAATCACAAAGAGGACTCTATTAAAGAAAATGGTGCAAGGCACCGCAAGCATGTCCAGCACTTTTGTTATGCACAGTGGTAGGCCACTACTCATGGCCCACATGCTACAGTCCAGTGAATGCCACTACAGTACTCGCACTGTGTCAGTGATCTCTTTCTCCAATTTTCACCCCCTGAATTGCCAGTCAGTGGATCTTGGTGTGAGTCATTCAGCCACCAAGTAGATGACATGCCTGCATTGCATTGGGATGTGGAAAGTGCAAGCACCGACCGAGGGTTCGGACAACAAAACCCAACACATGACAGTGCAGACCCAAGTGCAACGTGTTTCTCCAAGTGTGGTGAAAAAAAAAAAAAAAAAGGCCGATGCCCCCACCCAAATGAAAACCGGACCTGCAATAAGCCAACACCCTCCTCTCTATCAGGATGGCCATCCGGCTCCCTAAGCCACAAAAGGATCTCACACAGCCACAAGTTCATCTCCAACGCCAACAATAGTTGCAATACCTTCCGGTGTGAGCGAGCTTCTCCTCCTGCCACTGGGCTGACACCCCTTCCGGCCGCTGACTGGCGACCAGATAAGCCCAAACTCGCCGTGAGGGATAAGCTCAAACTCGCCGAGCGGCAGGATGCCACGTAAACCTTACCTCTGTACCATATGTGCAAGCCCCCAACTATTCTTCCCTAGACAAACGTATGTCTCTGCTAATACGGCCAGATTCAGTCCGCAATGTACAGTACACCTTTGACGTGAAAGTTCAGAGACTAGGATCACTCCGATTCTGTAGCTGCTGACACATGAACAGCCTCGGCTTTTCATAAAGATAATGTACACCGATGTATTGTTCCCCTGCTAATGAGTGCATGGCTGTTTAACAAAAACAGTCTCTCTCATAAACCCTCCTCTTTGTCCACTTATCCCTTTCGGTCCACCATTCACACGGTGGCTGCGTGTCAAAAATACATATAGTAATATACAAATGCATTTCTGAATCCCCTCGTGGCACATCAGTTCATGGTTATTCATTACACAGGATATGACGTACAGAATACCCTTATGAGCAATG